GAGCTGATGGGGAAAAAAAAAAAAAAGAAAAGGGAATATGGAAGAGAAAGTTATTTTGGCAAGAAACAAAGTATAAGGTCAGAATAATACAGCCTTAAATGCATAATGCATCCATAATTAATTTTTTTTTTTTTTTTTTTTTTTTTGAGATCCCCCTGCCTCTGCTTCCTGAGTGCTCAGATCAAAGGTATGCACCACCACGCCTGGCCTTTTTGATTTTCTTTTCTCTCTTCTTTTTTTCCTTTGTTTTTAAAAAATCACTTACAGATTCAAGTCTAGGAAACAAAAAGAGCAGTTTTAATTTTAAAAAATTGAATTATTTCTATTATTCATTTGTCTAATTATTCTTCATATTTCTGTATAAATTGGTAATTGAGTTGTGGCCTAGGATGAAACCTAGGACCTCATGCATGCTAGGCAAGCACTCTGCCACTGAACTACACCCTAGTCCAGACAGCAAACCTTTTAATGGAATATTGTTAGTGTGAAAATGTGGACAGCAAACCTTGAATAAGGTGATTATAGGAGTGCAGGTTAAAACCCATTTTTAAAAAAGGTTATTAAAAAAAGAGAAAAGGGCCAGGCATGGTGGCGCACTTAATCCCAGCACTTGGGAGGCAGAGGCTGGTGGACCTCTGTGAGTCTGAGGCCAGCCTGGTCTACATAGTGAGTTCCAGGATAGCTGGGCAGTGCTTCTTGACAAAAAAAAAAAAAAAAAAAAAAAAAAAAAAAAAGAGAGAAAAGGAAAAGTTCCTTCTAACAGAGCAAACAATTGTGTTCCCCAGGCAAGGAGAAAGGAAACTTCCCAGAAGGTAAAAATCAAGTGGAAGGATGATCATCATTGCATTAAAATTTTTTGCTGGGGCTGGAGAGATGGCTCAGTTAAGAGCACTGACTGCTCTTGCAGAGGACCCAGGTTTGAGTTCCAGAACCCACATGGTAGCTAATAAATGCCTGTTAACTCCAGTTCCAGGGGATCTGACGCCCTCTTCTGGCCTCTGCGGACACTGTACACATGGGTGCTCTTATATACATGCAAGCAAAATCCTCACATACACAGAATAAAAATAAATTTAAAACAAAAAACAAACTATTCCAGCAGATGGGGCCCAACTCCTCACTGAGGAGTTACTGGCTTACTGGCAGTTGATAGCTGCCGGGGAAAGAGGAATGATGGCCCATAGTGTGGTGTCACCCCGCCCCCCAACTCCCGAGGATGGCCCCCACGCCCATGCCCATATGCATAGCACTAATCACTAACTGAATTTACTAAATTACCCCTGCCCCAACACACACACACACACACACAGACACACAGACACACAGACACACACACACACACACACACACACACACACACACACAAAGGCCTGGTGTAGTGATACATGCCTTTAATTCTAGCACTCTGGAAGCAGAAGCAGGCAGATCTCTGTGGGTTTGAGTTTGAGGTCAGCCTGGTGTACATAGCAAGTTCTAGGCCAGTCAGGGCTAGAGAGTGAGACTTACTTTTTTTTTTTTTTTTTAATTTTTATTTTATGTGTATGAGTGTATTGCCTGCATGTATGTGAGTGCACCCATGTTGTGTAATGCCACGGAGGTCAGAAGAGGGCTTCGGATTCCCCTGGAACTAGAGTTAAGGACGGTTTGTAGCCGCCATGTGGGTGCTGGGAATCGAACCCGGGTCCTCTGCAAGAGCAGTCAGTGCTCTTAACCACTGAACCATCTCTCCAGCTCTGACTCTTTTTTTTTTTTAAAAAAAAGGAACTAGGACATGAAGTTGGGAAGGGGACGTATTGGGGAGAAGATAGGGGAAGTTGAAGCGGAAAGGGGTGTGTGTGAATATGATTATATTTCATTGGATACATGTACTAAATTCTCAAGAATAAAGAAAAATCATAATTAAAAAAAAAATCCATTCTGAGTGTGACAGCACACACCTGTAATCCCATTACTTGGGAGGTGAGGTAGAAGGATCAAGAGTTCAAGGTCATCAGCTACATACTGAGATTGAGGCCAGACTGGGGTATATGAGACCCTGTCCTGCAATACAAATAACAAAACCATCAAAAATAATCTATAAAAAGAACCAGGACCAGGCTATATATGACTCTATCTCAAAACAAAACACAAACCAAAATAAATCTATGTAAGAAATACTGGCAGCAAGTTACATTTACAAGAGAGGGAGATCAAGGATTGTTGGACTGGAAAGACAGCTTGGCTGTTATGAGCCCTACTGTTCCAAAAGAGGGCTGGAGCTGCATCCTAGCACCTAGCATCAGGTGGTTCACAGTGCCCGTTATCTCCAGCTCCAAGGACTCCAACACCCCCTTCTAGCTGCCATTGTGTCCACTGACACACATAAGTAAAAGAAATCTTAAAAAAAGGAGTTTATGGGGTTGGGGATTTAGTTCAGTGGTAGAATGCTTGCCTAGCACTCTCTTATTTATTTATGTATTTATTTATTTGGGTCTGACTAGGTAGGGACAGAATCTCTTTAACACCAATGTCAAGAAATAGCCTGCTGGGCATGGTGGGGCACGTCTTTAATTCCAGCACTTGGGAGGCAGAGGCAGGTGGATCTCTGTGAGTTTGAGGCCAGCCTGGTCTATATAGCAAGTACCAGGCCAGCTGGGGCTAGAGGGAGACCAAAAATAAAAGAATTACTTATATGTCTCTGGCCATGTCATCATAGGCTTTATTAAATTTATTAAATGCCACTTTATTTTAGGTGCCATGATTTAAGTGATGGTAAAGTTGACTCTACATAAACTTTAAACTATATAATCAGGATTTTCCCTCCCACATGTACACAAACAAGGGGTCCATACAAAGATATTCTAGCATAGACACAAATGTGATGCCACTTAGGAGTTGTGTGACTTAAGGGGAAAATGCTAGAGATGTGCTTGGCTGGTACAGAGACTGGAGAGGGAATAAGAGGACAGATGGCCAGCACAGAGACCACAGGAAGGGAGAAACATACTGGTTTTTTTTTTTGTTTTTTTTGAGACAGGGTCCCCCTGCAGCTCTGGTTGGCCTAGAACTTGTTATGTAGATCCTGTTGGCCTCAAGTTTACAGAGATCTGCTTGTATCTCTCTAGTGCTTGGATTAAAGGTATGTGCCACCACACCTAACTGAAATTAATTAATTAATTAACACAGGGTTTCCTGTATCCCAGGTTGAATTTGAACTCAATCTATAGCCAAAGATGATCTTGAACATCTGATCCTCTTTTTTTCTCTACCTCCCAAATGCTAAGACTACAGGTGTGTGGGGCTGAGGATCAAACCCAGGGCTTCATGCATGCTAAGTAAGCACTCTATCAACTGAGTTACATCTCTAATCTCTGGAGAAAGTATTTTTGCCTCCATTTGAGTCCTTCAATCTGTCTTCCCTGGGGCCTTTTACATTTCTAGCAGTAGATTTCTTCATATAGTAGGCTCTCCTAAGGGCTCATCAGGGCTCATTTTGAAAGTTCTAGACCTTAAGACTTCCTCAGACTCTGCTACCTCCCTGAATGCATGAGTCCCATCAAGCTGATGGTCAGAATGCTGTCCCCTTGCAGTCCCACAGGGGCCTGGCCTCCCGGTACCTTCAGAGGGAACTGCTGGGTGAGTTCTGGCACATAGGCAGCCCCGGCCTGCTTCTTATGTAGAGATACAACTACGAAGTACTCAAAGAGCTGCCGCTCCTGATACTCGATGAGCTCCCGGTCCAGTGATGAGTACCGAGGGGCCTGCTTCAAGCGTGATTTAACGTTGACCAGGCGCTGGCTGTGAGCTGTGGAGAGAGAAGCCACAGGCCTGACATGACTCATTTGCCAATGTGGAGTTGCTCAGTGCTGGACAGATTATGTAATTCCCAGCTTCAAGACTTTTTCTAACCCCCAGAGTCTTTGCACATCTAACAAATTAGTAGAAAACTCTCTTTGGGCCCCTTGCCAAACTCGTGGGAGAAGCACCATTCATTTATAGGCCTGCTGGCCAAGCAGGGTGCAGGGCCTGGGGCTCAGGGCTCTGCCAGGATTTTACTGTCAAGCCTTGAGGCAGAGGCTTACACAGGGCTTTCCTTCCATCTGTCCTCAGGAGGGGACTCTTACTATTTCCCTCGCTCATTTCCGACGTTTCAGTTTATGTGATGTGACAAGAGCCAGACCATGGAGTTTTTGGAGCTGAGAGCTTTGTAAACATCCCTATGACTCCACTAGTAGAGATCTAGGGCTACCTCAGAATTCTTCTCCACCTCTGCTCTGGCCAGTTCTCTGCAGTGGACATGGGCTTGCTTGTTCTGGGGATGGCCCAGCTAGCAGTTGGTGCTAGAGGTGAATGAGGTAGGGCCACTATGTGGACCAGTCTTGTCACCTTGTTCAGTACCTAGAGTTGCTTTCTCTGGCTTCTTCCCTGGGGTCTGGGAAATCTCAGAAAACTCACTAACACTAAACCCGGATCACTGAATGTCAGACCCACAGGGACCAGTTATTTCACCAGCTTCTTTTGGCAAGTGCAGACCAGACGCTCTGAGATCTTAAGAGATTTCCTGTAGCTCACACAGTCATTGGCAGCCCGGTGTCTCACAGCAGGAGAGGAATGGGAACAGGTGTCTGCACTGGTTGCCACCACCCTCATCCCTGCACATGCCTGGTCCGCCTGCCCACACTTTGGGCCACACGGTCCTCCCAGACACTCATGCCTTGCCCAGCAAGCCTAGGCAGGACATGTCTGTCCCTCACAGCAGGAGAGGGGAGCCATTTCTGTGCTTTCCCAGTGACCTGCATGCACCTCCCTCTCCTCACCTTTCAGCTTCTCCTCAGTGTCACTGTCAGATTCGCTGTTCTCATCTGTCACTAGACCAAAGGAAGGAAGGAAGAGGCAAATGTGAGTTCTTCTAGGTCAGAGGCATTTTTTTTGTTGTTGTTATTGTTGTTTTAAGGTCAACTATTTATGTATTTATTACTTTTTATATTTTATTATCTTAATTTTATGTGTATGAGTGCATTCCCTGCACATATGTAAGTACACCTGTGTTGCACAATGCCTGCAGAAGTCAGATGAAGGCATCAGATTCCTGTGGAACTGGAGTTAGGGACAGTTGTTAGCCGCCATGTGGGTGCTGGGAATCGAACCCTGGTATCTTTCCAGCCCCTACTTTTTATATTTGTGTTTATTTATTTAGTGTGTGTGTGTGTGTGTGTGTGTGTGTGTGTGTGCGCGCGCCTGAATGTATGTATCTGCACCGTGTGGGTACACAAGCCCATGGAGGTCAGAAGAAGTCAGATCCCATGGAACTAAGAGTTCCAGGCAATTGTGTGCTTCCATGTGGATGCTTGGAATCAAATCTGGGTCTTCTGCAAGAGTGGTATACACTCTTAATACCTGAGCCATCGCTCTAGTCCCTTGCCAACTATTTAAATGTAACAGACAGGGCCTAGGCATGGTGTTGAATGCCTTTAATCCCAGCACTTAGGAGGCAGAGGCAGGCAGATCTCTGTGAGTTCGAGGCCAGCCTGGTCTACATACTGAGTTCTAGGACAGCTGGGGCTACAGGGAGACCCTATCTCAAAAAGACCAAAGTGGGGGGGAAGTAACAGACAAATTCTGTTCAACTTAATGTATTACTGGGCTAGCTAGTTTTTGTCAACTTGACATAAACTAGAGTCACCTGAGAAGAGGGATCTCTTTTTAAAAAAAGTTTTTTTTGGGGGGCTGGGACGATGGCTCAGTGGTTAAGAACACTGGCTGCTCTTACAGAAGACTCAGATTTGATTCCTAGCAGACACATGGTGATTGACAGACGTTTGTAACTCCAGCTCCAGGGGAATCTGATACCTTCTTCTGACCTCCTTGGGTGTTGCATGACATGAGTGTACTTACATATATGCAGGCAATATACCCATACACATAAAATAGAAATAATAAAAATTTAAAAATTATTTTATGTATATGAGTGTTTTGTCTGCATGTATGTAAGTATACCATGTGCATGCAGTGCTAGAGGAGATGAGAGGAGGGTGTCAGACTCCTTGGAACCAGAGTTGTGGACAGGTGTTAGCTACCATGTAGGTGCTGGGAACTGAGCTAGAACAGCCAGTGCTCTTAACCACTAAGCCATCTCTCTAGTCCCAGAGGGAATCCCAAATGAAGAACTGCTTCCATGGACTGGCTTGTGGATGTCTGTGAGGCATTTTCTTAATTGCTAATTGATGCAGGAGGGCCAAGCCCATGGTGGGCAGTGACATCCCTAGGCAAGTGGGCCTGGGCTGTAAGAAATCTAGCTGGGCAGGCCAGGAAGAGAAGCAAGCCAGTAAGCAGCATTTTTCCCTGGTCTCTGCTTCAAGCTCGTCTTGAGCTCCTGCCCTGACTTCCCTCAATGATGACTGTACCGTAAGCTGAAATAAACCATTTCCTCCCCAAATTGGTTTTGGTCAGTGTTTTATCACAGCAATAGATGTTAACTAGAACAGTTACCAAACTAATTTGGCTCTGGGTAAGATGGCTCCTGTACCAATTATTATAACAAAAGGCAAGTTTTTCTGCATGCCGAGGCAGAAAAGTTGCTGCCAGTCTGGTGGGACTCACAGACCCTCAGATGACTTGAAGGTAGATAAAACAGAGGGAGGCAGAACATGTCTCCCCTAGGCTGGCACTCTGGCTCTTTGTCCCAGGGACAGGGGTAGACAAGAAACATCAGCTTGCTCATTCCTTGGTGAGCCTACAAAAATCAACAGGAAGCCACTCTCTCTAAAGGATGTCTTCAGGTTCTATGACTATGAGGGGGACAGTCCGAGCAGGGTGGGGTGAGGGGGGTGGTCTACCTTTTCCTGAGTTGCTCTCTGTGGACTGGGACAGCCTCTTCACCCGTTTCTTTCCTCTTCGGGCCTCATAAATGGCATTGATCCGCAACACCAGCTGCCAGACACCAGGAGAAAGAAACCAGTGTCAGCCGCCCTCCCCAAATGCAGCTGGACTGCCTCCACTGCCCCATCTCTCCTAGGATGACAAAAGCGGGGGAGGGGGCGGGGGGCACATAGTTCTGCCTCATTAGTTTTCCAGTCATTCTTTTCTACCACACTGTCAAGTACACTGAAAGACGCTGCCCTCCTTGCCACATGGGTGGCAAGGGTCTAATAGCTCCTGCACCCAGCTGAGACACTCAGGGTTCTGAGACAGCTGGGAAACAATTTGCTTGGCTCATGGTGTCAGGCAGCTCTCCCTCTGATACTGTAATACTGTGATGTCACTGTGGCTTAGGAGAAACCTTTTGCCCCCTCCTCCCTCCCCGAAAAAAACAAAACAAAACTAGAAAGAGACAGAAAGAATAGTTCCCAGGCAGGGCCCCTTTGGTGGGAACCATTCCAAACAATGTCTTAACAGCTCAGAGCAGATGGGGGATAGGATTAAAGTGGCTCCTGTCCTAGCTCCTGACAGCAAAAGGGTGCTCAGCACCCCAGCTGCAGAGAAACCTCATTCCTAACCTCATGGGTTCCCCCACTTATTTGTATTCATGGTGCAGAAGTGGGTTGGAATGTGCTGGAATGTGACATATCCCAGGCCTTCAAGAAGGCCACCCAGTCCAGATGGCCTTCACTCTTTACCAAAGCCCCTGCTCCATGCCCCAGCATCTTCCAGGCCATGGGGACTGTCACTATTTACAACAGCTGCTTACAGATCTGCTTCAAAGGCAAATGCTTCTCTTGCTGTTGGCCAGACAAGACTCTGGTGTTTCCTGTGTATTTGTTTCCTCTGTTCTCTCCAGAGAAGCTAGTGAGTGTGGATTTGCAGGCTATGCAGAGTCCCTGAGGCTTGTTGTCAAAGAGCACACATTCATAGCACATGTGGCTCAGATTCCCACACACTGACAAACCTCAAGATTAGTTCATTACTTTTTCTTTTTTGGGTGCTGGGGAGTGAACCTGGTACCTTGTGCATGCCAGGCACATGTCCTACCACTAAGCTACACCCTCAGCTCTTGTTTTCTTGCTTTTGTATTTTTTCTTAAGGCACAATTTCTGGCCTAGGCTGGCACTGAACCATGTTCTTTCTGTCTCTCCTTTTTTGTTTTGAGACAGGGTCTCATTATGTAGACCAGGCTGGCCTGTAACTCAAAGAAATCTGCCTGCTTCTGCCTCCTGATTGCATGGGGACTACAGGTATAAGCCACCACACCTAGCTGAATATTTAATTCTTATTTTTAATATATGTGCTGGATCGCTTCAGTTGTCAACTTGACATAACTGGGAAGAGGGAGCCTCAATTGGGAATTGCCTCCATTGGACTGGCCTGTGTCTGTGTCTGTGGGGTATTTTCTTGATTTTTGAGTGATGTGGGAGGGCCCAGCCCACTGTGGGTGGTGTCACCCCTGGGTAGGTTATTCTGTATTGTATAAGAACACAGGCTGAGCATGGGCCAGGGGAGCAAGCCAGTAAGCAGTGTTCCTCCATGGCCTGTGTTCCTGCCTCCAGGCTCCTGCTCTGAGTTCCTACCTTGGGTTCCCTCAGTGATGAACTATGACCTGGGTGATATAAGCTAAATAAGCCCTTTAAAGTTGGTATTGGTCAGAGTATTTTGTCATGGCAAATGAAGGCAAACTATAACAATATACCTCTAGCTTTTTTGCCCCCTTTGCATCTGGATATGAGTGAGCCATTTCCTTGGCCTCTATGGGCCCAATGTCCTCATCTAAAAGATTATATCAGACCACATCAACAGTCTTTAGCCTTTAATTTTCTAGGCTTCTATGATCAAGGTTTCTAGCTGTCCTCAGACATCTGGAGTCTTTCTATCACCTCTCCTCATGTTCCACAGGAGAGCTACTCAACAGGTTCCATTACTAAAAGGCACTTTCAGCAGAACCCTCTCAGGAGGTCATGCATGCCACACTGTTCCTTTCCACAGGGAGAGCCTCCAAGTAAACCTGGGGTGAGAAATTCTCCAAGGACAATGGAGGCAAATCAATTAGCATAAAAGTTCTGAACCTAATTTTTTTCTGACCTTTTCGAGACAGGGTCTCCCTGTAGCCCCAGCTAACCTGGAACTCACCATGTAGACCAGGCTGGCCTTGAATTCACAGAGATCCACATGCCTCTGCCTCCCAGTGCTAGGACTGGGAGTGTGTGTGTGTCACCAGGCCTGGCTGAATCCATTTATTTTAATTAAAAAGAATTTAGTATGTATGAATGTTCTGCCTACATGCATGCAAGCGCACCCATGCCCATGGAGGCCAGAAGAGGTTGTTGAATCTCCTGGAACTGGAGTTACAGGTAGTTCTGAGCAGTCATGCGGGTGTGGCAGCTGAACCTAGGTCCTCTGCAAGAGGACCAGTGCTCTTAACCACTAAACTCTCCAGCCCCAAAAGTTTTGAATCTTTTGATGCATTTGGAAGAAGAGGGTGTGTGTAATCTGTGTGTGTGTGTGTGTGTGTCTGTGCCATAGATTGGCAGTCTCTAGCCTATCCTTCCCATCATGGTCCAGCTCTCTAGTATGGATCACTAGGCTAGCTGTGCTTCATAAGCCAGGACACAAGAAAAAAAGAAAAGGTTATTTGGAATCTAAGAGCTGGTTAGGGAGGTGAGGAGAGGAATGGCAAGAGGAAGACCACAAGACCATAATAATAACCGAGAAGGCCCACCTATCCTGCTCGCTTCACTGTGTCCCCCTGCCCAGGCTGACACCGAGAGCAAAGGCCTTGTGCTGTCTCTCCACAGAAGGGGGTGATATTGGAAGGTGACATGCATGCATTACCCTGGGGATCTTTTTCTTCTTCCTGCCGTTCTGCATGTCTCCAAGGTTAAAGAAGGTGTCATCGGGGCTGCTGGGTGTGGAAGGAGGGCTGGTTCTCAAGGGTGACCCAGTTCCATCCCGACTGAGCTTTCTTGTGTCCAACAGTTTGAAGTTCCTCCTCTCTGAATTTTGCCGGAAAAACGCAGGTTTGGACAAGGACTGCTGTGTGAGAAAGGAGGACACAGGAGTAAGTCCAAACAAAGGGGACTGTGGATGGTGGAACTGAGCAGGAGGCTAATCTGGGTTCCTAAGATAGCTGGAGTTTGTCTATGCTAAGTGCACCACAAACAACACCCAGTTGTGGAAAATTTATGTGACAAAAACAATGCAAATTGAATCTAGTCTCTTTTCAGACAAGTGGGGAGCCACCTGCCTCTACCCCTTGGCTTTTTTGTTATTTTTGTGTCGGTCCCCTCCCCCCACCTGCCCCAAGATGAGGATCAAATCCAGGGCCTTGCGCTAAGCAAGCACTCTACCACTGAGCTAAATCCCCAACCCCTCCCTTGGCTTTTTAAAAAAGATTTTTATATATGTATGTTTGTCTGTGTGTGTGGCGGGGGTGGGTGGTGGGGTTGCGGCTGTAAGGCCAGAAAGGGCATTGGATTCCCTGGAGCAGTCAGTGCTCTTAACCACTGAGCCATTATCTCTAGCCTCCACCCTTGGCTTTACAGATGAGTTCTGACAATCTAAGACACATGTACTAGGAATCACATGTCCTAAACCTGCTGTGGCCCTGGGCTGGCTTGCCAAGGGCCTGCTCTATAAGGAATGTCATCTCTCTGGGCATCAGTATCTTTTTTTCTTTGCTGGGATTTGAGCCTAGGACCTTACACAGCCAAGTACCCTATCACATCCCCAGTCTAGGATCTTATTTCTGAAACAAGCCTCTATAAAATGAAAAGGTAAAAAACACTTCTTAAAAATTTTACAACTCAGGGTCGTGTGTGGTGGTTCACACCTTTAATCTCAGTACTTGGGTGGCAGAGACAGGCAGATCTCTGTGAGCTTGAGGCTAGCTTGTTCTGCATAGCAAGCTCTAGGTCAACTGGGGCTACAGGGAGACCCTGTCTTTTATAACTCAGTAGGGCATATAACTCAGAGGTAGAGTACTTGCCTAGCATGTGTAAGGTGCTGGGTTCCATATCCAGTGCCACAAAAAATAAAAATGAAATATGTTGGATGTGATGGTGTAAGCCTTTAATCCCAGTCCTTGGGAGGAGGAGGCAGGGGATCAAGGTAATCTTTAGCTACAGAGCATGTCTGAGGCCAGTCTGGGCTGCATGAGAATCTTTGTCTTAAAATGAAACAAAACAAAAACAGAAAATAATGCATTTTCCTGATAAATACTATAAGTTACTAAGAAAAAGCAAACAAACAAACAAACACCAGGCAAAAATAAGAATGGAAAGTTTACAGAAATGTAATATTTCCTAGTTATATGAAAGACTTCTTCGCGTCCCTCATGATAAAAAAGAAAATTCAAATTCCATTGAGGAAACAGTTTTCACTCAAAAATTAGCAAAGGTAAAAATACTTGCTAATTCACTCTGTAGGTCAAAGGGAGAGAAAAAGCCATTTCCAAACTTCCACAATGGTTGGTGGCAGTATAAACTGGCAGGTCCACAGAGGAAAAGAGAAGAGTGTGTAACAAACGACAATGCATGTGCCCTCTGACCTGGCAAATGCGCCTCTAGAAATTCCCCTACCTGATAAGCTCATACTTGGGTCACACTATATTGTTCAAGGAAAGTTACAGTCTGCAGAGAATACCATCTATTGAGACATGGCTTCTAATCACTCACAAAAAAAATCATGTTGGGAACAATCTAAATGTCCATTGATAGAGGTCGAGCAAATAAATCATGGTATATCTAGACAGTGGACAACTATGCAACTGTCAAACAAAAGCACACATCCGCCCATCTGTCCATTAACTATATCTAAATCCACTGTTAATACACTGATCTCATATACATATACATTTCCTTTAAAAAATTTTTTATGTGTATGAATGTCTTGCCTTCATGTATACAAGTGCAATGCCCATGGAGGTCAGAAGAGGGTGTTGGATCCCCTGAACTGGAGTTACAGACAGTTGTAAGCTGCCATGTGGGTACTGGGATTTGAACCCACTGAGCCATCTCTCCAGCCCATATAGTTCTTTTATGGAGACTGTGTCTCCCTATGTAGCCCTGGCTGGCCTGGAACTTGCTATATAGACCAGGCTGGCCTCAAACTCATAGACATCCACCTGCCTCTATCTCCTAAGTGCTGGGATGTGCCATCATGCCCAGATTTAT